CACAATATCTATATTTTGCATTGGTTTAATAATGTAGCTATATTTTTGTAAAATCGCTGTAAAATTGAAATAAGCCATTGGACCTGTTTTTCTCCTGGCCGTCCCTATGAGGTAAAAAGGACTAGGTTAACATTTTTTGAAAACCAGTATAAACTAGTGCTGCAACAAACCGTACCGTAATTAAACGTCCGAGGAATGAAAATAATCAATAATTGTTTTGAATAATTTCAAATAGATTATTTATTACATACTGTAAACTTATAAGTTCTTTTTAAATTGAGCGACAAGGGTATTTTCATATTTATATTTATATAAACGAACAACTTATACGTACTTTTGTACGTTTACAAGAGTTCATTTTTTTAAACATGATTTTTTTTTTGATAATTTAGAATTTTTTTCAAAATTTTGAAATTTCTTTAGAAGTTTGAAATTTTTGGGAATATAAAAAACGTTTTTTTTAAATATTTTGAGAATTTGGAAATTTTTGAAAATATTAAATTAGAATTTTTTTTAAGAAATCATTTTTTTCAAATTTTTCAAAATTTAGTTTTTTTTGAAATATTGTTTTTTTGAAAATTTTCAAAATTATTAAATTTTTTGTAAATGCATTTTTTGCACGCCGTTTACTCAAGCAAAATGTTTTTTGAATTAATCTAATCGGATGATTGGTTCTCTCAAAAACAGCATAACCGTTTTTACAACCTTTGCGCTCCATACCTCCGAAACGGCAAAATTGCTTTTGCAAAAATGCCTTGCGATCGAGTACGAGACAAATGATTTTTTAATTACAAATCGGTTATTCCATGCTGTCGAAAATATCGAGAACATTTGTTTAAATTAAAAATCTTGGTGCGGAACCCAAAAAAAATTGCACTAAATGTGTACACAATATTAAAATCTCTATTAAATATCTGATAATTTGATGTACACATGTCTAATAAACATTTTTGACCGCCAAATGACATCTTTGGAACGGTTAGACCTGCCTTCGCCAAAAACTAATCTGCACGTCTCCTTATCAATACGAATCGAATGTTTTTTGAATTGTTCAAATCGGTTGATCGCTGTTCTCGAAATCGTCGACGAAACACACACACACACACGCACACACATACATCCTTTTTTTCTAAGGTATGCCAAAATGTTCAGATACCTTTGAAACGTAAAAATTTTTATCTTCAATTTTTTTGCAATTGCTATAACTTGCCCTACAGAAAGTTAAAAACTCAATGATGAATTAGCTGGGAGTTTTACCGAACATAGTCAAATAGTTGATCGTTTGAATTGTGGTATTTGTTGTATTGTTATTGGTTTAGTTTTTACAATATAATTTTCCAAAGGCAAATTAGACCAGCCCTACCCTTTATAAATTTAATATGCATATGTGTTTGTTCGTAATGAAAAGCCATAATATTTTATTAATTTATTGTTATAAATATGTTTCACGTATTGTTGTCCGACTATATTAAAGAAATAAAATTAATAAACCTGTCAGATGATCGATCGTCTGACGGACTGACAAATTAAATTTGGACATTATTATATAATGTATAACTGATACTAGGTTTACGTTTTTTTTTAACTTCATGTGACGGCTTGGTTCAAACGGAAAATGAGTACTTCTAGCTAATTTATATCGACGATCGATCTAATGTTCAACGTTGAACTGCTCACTTGGTTCCGATCTTGTATTTCTCACATAAAAGTCGCTTTTCGGATTCGACAACTTCTCGAACTTCTTCTTGCTGTTTTTTGGCTGCCTCACGTTTCATTCGCAAATCCATTAGCATGGTTTGTTCAGATGCGACGCAACAGGCGACTTCTTCCAATTCGCGCCAACACTCCATCCGGCAACCCTGGTGGGCTTTGTAGCAGTGAGCCAACTGGGGATACAAAGAAAATTGACTCGACAATAGTAAATGTAAAATGACAATTAACTAGTTGTAAGTGGAATTTTCATTACAGCAAGTTGAATGAACTTCCAGATACGTACGAATAATAATTTAGATCTATCTATTTTTTTCAAGTTACATGTGACGCGTTGATCACTTTGTACTGTTTTGTGTCTAAATAATTAATATAACTAGTGGGGTGCATGGCATCGTGCTTTAAGGCAAATTGCTGAAACTTACCGTACCATAATTAAAAATTCGAGAAATAAAAATAAGCGATATTTGCTTTAAATCGAATTACCATTTTTGGCACTTTTTGCCCCGTATCTTCAAAACGGCTAGACCTGCCAAATTATTCAAATGGGTTATTTCATACTGTCGAAAATATCGAGGACATTTGTTTGAACAATATACTTGAATATTAAAATTAAATATCTTGGTACGAAACCCAAAACAATGACACAAAAAGTCTCTACAAAATATCCAATGAACATTTTTATTTATTGAGAGTCAACAACCGCTGGACCTGCATTTTCAAAAATTTAAGCAGTTCTTTGTTTAGTCAATATAAATGAAATGTTTTTTTAATTATTTAAATCGGACGCTTCGTTCTCTCAAAAACTGAATTACCATTTTTGGTTCTTTTTGCCCCGTATTTTCGAAACGGCTAGATCTGCTTATGCCACAAACTAATCACGTCTCCTTAACAATACAATTCGACTGTTATTTAAATTTTTCAAATCGGTTCATTGGTGTTCTCGAAATTGTCGACGAAAATTTGTATTCGCAACACACACACGCACACACATACACACGCACGCACATAAACACGCACATACACACACACACACATATATATATCCATTTTCGATAAAGTATGCCAAAATATTCAAAAACCTTTATAACATGAAGATATATGAAAATTTTTATTTTTGATTTTTTTGCGATTACTATAACTTACCCTGCCGGAACTTAATAAAGAATTATTAACTTCCCCGTAGGGTGAGTTATAGTAATCGCAAATGAACAATATTATATACCATAGGTGGGGAACCTGCGGCCTCCGTGAGGATCTTATGCGGCCCCTTGCCGTCTAGTACAAAATAGCAGAGTTACTTTCAAACAACTATTGTACAAAAATCCCACCAAAAACAGTCTTATTGTAACATGACATCAGATTACTAGCCTGAAACACAGACTCTTAGGCATATACAAAATAGAGATGTAATATATTATATTAATATTATTCAATATAAGCAATATTTTCGATTTTGCAAGACATCGCCTATTATATGATTCAAGAAGTATTATAAAAAAATTAACAGTGCCAAAGAATCGTTAGCACCCGAGTTCAAGATTTTTATGCGTATCCGTAGTAAAATGATAAACATTTATACTCCTCGCGGTTTTGCCGGAGATCGGAGCAACCAGATGTTACCAAGATATATTGGCAGTTTTATGAAATCATAGCTATAAAATGACACAAAACTATACATTTTTTCATAAAATAAAAATATATACTATATACTATATACTATATAGTGTATACTATATACGATAGAGCGGGGTTAAAGGTCTGCGGGTAAAAAGTTCCACCACCGATATCTCTAAAATAAGTAAAGTTAAGAATTTTTTGATAACAATAATCAAAAGTAAAGGGAAAAAAATGTTTAACAAGTTATCGCATTGATTATTACGACATTACAGTATTTTCTTTTATTGTTAGTTTTTTTTTTGTTGTGAGCCTTATTGTTGTTATTTCGAGACCTCTATATAATTTTAAAATATCTATACGTTGTGGTCTAATTACTTTACAAGATGTATTGTTAATTTTAAAATAGATTCAACTCCTTTTTTAATATAGTCCTTATAAAAACTTACACGGGGATTGGGTAGAAAGGACCAACTAAACCTTTACCCTGGCAAAGGAGTAAATAAAAAACAGTAAATAAAAAAGTAAATTAAGTTAAAACTAGTGGGGCACATGGCATCGTGCCTTAAGGCAAATTGCTGGAACTTCCCGTATCAAAAATTATCATTTTTTTAAAAACGATTAACATTTTTTTTAAAAAATAACTTAGAAAAAATTAGATTTTTGAGAAACTATAAATTTGACAAAAAATAACTTTTTGAAAAGTATGTTTTCCTTATTTTGACATATTTTGGAAATTCTGAACTATTTTTCAAAACAATCGTACTGCTTTAACTGCATAAGGACGAAACATAAAGCGCGTAAGCGCCGCGTCGCCGTCTAACGGATAAACATTGATACGGAACCCATAGGAATGTAAACAAAATTTATACTTATTGTTAAAATCTCTATAAAATATCTGATAATTTGATGTGCAAATGTCGAATGATCATTTTTGACCGCCAAATGGCATGTTTTTTACTTTTTTTGTTAGATCTCCGAAACCGCTAATCAATTCTTCATCCTGTCAATACAAGTAAAATGTTTTTTGAAAAAACTGAGTTACCGTTTTCGGCACTTTTTGCCCCGTATCTTCGGAACGGCTAGACCTGCCTTCGCCAAAAACTAATCAGCACGTCTCCTTATCAATACGAATCGAATGTTTTTTGAATTATTAAAATCGGTTGATTCGTGTTCCCGAAATCGTCGACAAAAATTTGCATCTGTACACACACAAAAACATGCATTTGCATCCGCACACAAACACACACGCACACACACATACATACACACACACATACATACACACACACATACATCAATTTTTTTGAGGTATGCCAAAATATTCAGAAACCTTTGAAACGTAAAGATATATAAAAATTTTCATTATCGATTTTTTTGCGATTACTATAACTTGCCCTAAAAGTTTGAAACTAGAGATAAATGTTTTGTTTTTAATTTTGAAACTAAAGTTTTTAATTTTAAAACTAGAGTTATATTGCAAAAAATACATTTACATAGAGATAGAGAGTACATTTTTTATAGAGATAATACTGTATATAACTAGATCTGGTATTTTGTTAAAAAAAATTAGCAGCAGAGTTGGAATTAATATATGGTTGGGGAAAAAGAAATCCATTATTTTTACGTGAACTTCAAGACTTTAAGACTTTAAATGTTTTGCATTGACCGATTTAGGTCAAATATGCACCATTTTGTTCTATAAATTGTTGCCATTTTAATGGTAGTTTTATTATGCCTCTCTCACAAAAGTATTGGTCCTTATTAGCGAAAAACTCCAGCAATTGATTTTCACACTCTTCCCTTGATGCCAATTTCTTATCACTAAAAAAGTTTTGCAATGCAAGAAAAAGATGGTAATCGCTTGGTGCGAGGTCCGGACTGTATGGTGGATGCATCAAAACTTCCCAACCAAGCTCCTGGAGTTTCTGACGAGTCACTATAGAAGTGTGTGGCCTGGCGTTGTCCTGATAGCACACAACACCTCTTCTGTTGGCCAATTCTGGCCGATTCTGGTCAATTGCTCGCTTCAGACGGTCCAGTTGTTGACAATAGATGTCTGAATTTAATGTTTGGCCATATGGAAGCAACTCGTAATAAATGATTCCTTTCCAATTCCAATCAATTGCAATCCAGCAATTCCAATCAATTGCTGGAGTTTTTCGCTAATAAGGACCAAGACTTTTATAAGAGAGGCATAATGAAGCTACCATTAAAATGGAAACAAATTATAGAACAAAATGGTGCATATTTGACCTAAATCGGACAATGCAAAACATTTAAATAAAGTCTTGAAGTTTACGTAAAAATAATGGATTTCTTTTTCCCCAACCATATATTAATTCCAACTCTGCTGCTAATTTTTTTTTTGACAAAATACCAGATCTAGTTATATACAGTATTATCTCTATAAAAAATGTACTCTATCTCTATGTAAATGTATTTTTTGCATTATAACTCTAGTTTTAAAATTAAAAACTTTAGTTTCAAAATTAAAAACAAAACATTTTCAGTTAATATTGTTTGTTTTCTATAATTATTTTATATGTAATGTATGTGTTACGGTAAATGTGCACTCTTGGTGAATGTGCACATTTACCGGTGAATGTGCACATTCCCCAAAACGCTAGGTAAATGTGGAGTTCTCAAACAATCAATTTAAAATAATGGTGTACGTGCGTACTTGGATCGGTCTCATGAACATCTTGCGTATTTGGCGCATGCGCACTAAATAGTTAATAGTAAATAGTTGAATAGTAACCTTTTAGTATAGTGTATAGTGAATAATTAATATTAAATAGTAAATAGTTAATAGTTAATTGTTAGTAAAATAGTAAATGGTGAATTTAGAATAGTTAAATAGTGAATAGTGAATAGTTAAATAGTGAATAGTTAGTAGTTCAATAGTTATAGGTAAATAGTTTAAGTAACTAGTTAATAGTTAAAAAGTAAATAGTTAAATAGTAAATAGTTAAATAGTTAATGGTGAATAGTAAATAATAAATAGTTATTAGTGAATAGTGAATAGTGATAACCAAATAGATGAATTGTAAATAGTGAATAGTTAAAAGTAAATAGTGAATAGTGATAACTGAATAGTCAAATAGTAAATAATGAATAGTTATTAGTAAATAGTGCATTAGCAATAGTTGAATTGTAGATAGTTAAATAGTGAATAGTGAATAGTTAATAGTTAATAGGTAAATAGTTGAATAGTAAAATAGTGAATAGTGAATAGTGATAACTGAATAGTTAATAGTAAATAGTGAATAGTGATAACTGAATAGTTAATAGTAAATAGTGATAGTGATAACTGAATAGTTAATAGTAAATAAAGAATAATGAATAGTTAATAGTTAATAGTAAATAGTTGAACAGTAAAATAGTGAATAGTGATAACTGAATAGTTAATAGTAAATAGTAAATAGTGATAACTGAATAGTTAATAGTAAATAGTGAATAGTGATAACTAAATAGTTAATAGTAAATAGTGAATAGATAATAGCAAATAGTAAATAGTTATTAGTAAATAGTAAATTAAGAATAGTTAAATAGGTAATAGTTAATAGTTAATGGTTAAATAGTTAATAGATCATAGTTAATAGATAAATTGTTAATTGATAAATAGTTAATAGTTAATAGTTAATAGTGAATAATAAATAATAGATATTAATATGCATATGACTAAAATAAATAATATAAATATAAATATAAATACAAATATAAATATAAATATATAAATTAGTATCTCACCCGCACATGCGCGAGTTGAACTCACATTCGCCAAATAAGCCGGTAAATGTGCACATTCACCGGTGAAAGTTCACATTCATCGAAATATGCACATTTACCGTAACATATGATTGTATTTTTCTACATGTATTTATTCATAAAATCGTTTTTCCTGGTGTGATTGGAAGATTTTAATAATCCATGGTATCAGGATATGGTAATGCACTACACTAATATGTATTATAAACATTAAACTTGTAATTACACAATATTTTCACAAAATACTAATTTAAAAAATCATAAATAGATAGTGTGTTGTTCGTAGACTGGTTGAAGATATAATGGATATAATTCCATTATATTATATTTCCGTGAAAGATATAATTCCATTATATCTTCAACCAGTCTACGAACAACACACTATCTATTTGTGATTTTTTAAATTAGTATTTTGTGAAAACATTGTGTAATTACAAGTTTAATGTTTATAATACATAGTGTAGTGCATTATCATATCCTGATACCATGGATTATTAAAATATTCCAATTTAACACTAAGACTAACAAATTTTTCCACTGAATGAAGGCTAGGATTATAGCCGAAACGTAAGGATTTAAAATAAATTTTTGAAAGAAATTTATGTTTTTTATTGATGTTATGCCCGATTACTAGACTTTGTTAATATATATACATATATATATATATATATATATATATATATATAATCGAAGTATGTTTCAAAAATTTCGTAACACGTTTAAAATAATTCATTCATAGAAAAAGATTACAAACAGTTACATAGTGCAATGTTCGGCAACAAGAAAAATTACATGTCTTTCGCACACAATTTGTAATTAATAAAAAAATAATTTAAATATAATATAAATCAGTGGGTATCTGTAAATACTTCTTTCAAGTGTTACTGTTGGTTTTGCTTGTGGGTATTCTTCTTAATAAAATAAAACAATCCAGTTAAATAAGTAATGGTAAGCGATTATTCAGAAGTTTCCGTGAAAAACAATTAAATTTTGTATTGTCCATAAAATAGTTGCGGAAAATTACTAAAGTATCATTATATCGGTCATTACCATTTTGCGCAAACCACGTACTGATATTTATTTTATTGAAATTCAGTACAAACTCGAATTCTTCGATTACCGTAATGGTGAGTGTGATTTCAGGAATACAAATAAAAATAACAACTTGTACGTTCCAAGAATAAAAATGTATTTAATTGGTTTGCGATTTTGGATATTCGTGTTTAAGAATTCCATAACTCAAAATTTGTTATAAAAATAGCATAATGGTTTCTGTCAAAAATAGATTTTGTGCAAGTAGCCAATAAAAAGAATTTAATGTGAAAATATAACATATTTGAAAATTCAAAATTTGAAATTTTTGGAAAAAATAAATATTAAAAATAATTGAAAAGTTGTATATTTTGATTCTTGTTTGATATTTAAGATTTTAAAAATATTTAAGAAGTTGTAGTTCAAGAAAAAATATACATCTGAAATTTTGTCAAAAATTATATTTTTCAAAAAATTAGTATATTTTTTGAAAATTTAGAATAACCTTAAAATTTTTGCATCAAATCCATATGTAAACATAACTTAAACTTTTGCATATTTCAATAATTTTTATGGTTGTTTTTCTATCTTAAACCAATAATATTGTATATAATTGTACATGGAATACCAATTACTTTTTTAAATGTGTTTTAATTTTTGTCACTTTTTTATTTATGGAATTATATTGAGGTAAAATATAATAAATAATTATATATGTCGAGTCAAGTTGTCAGTATCTATTTTGTATATTCTTTTGGAGCCGACAAATATTTTACCAAATAATTAGGCAAAATATTTCTGTGACAGTCAAATAGGTAAAAATAAACCGATTCTGATATTCATTAAGAAAAATAATTGTTGTAATATTTGAATAGTAATAGTATTTGATTAATTAAAAATTAAGTTTTTTAGAAAGTAATTCAAATTGTTAAGTTTTTAAGAAATAACGAATACTTACTATGTATTAATGAAAGTGTACTCACATTGAGAAACGTTTCGTGGCACGGAATGACCTGCTTGTGCTTCATTCCTGTTCTTTCCAAATTAACAACTAATTCTTCAAATTGTGAGTTTGATATACTGAAAAATAATAAATTTTTTATCTAAAACTATTTATAACTAATATTTATACACATACATAATATATATATATATATATATATATATATAATATATATATATATATATATATATATATATATATATATATATATTATATATATATATATATATATATATATATATATATATATATATATATATATATATATATATATGTATATATATTGATGAGTTATTTAGAATCGGGCAGTAACACCAAGTAAAGAAAAAAAACTAAAGTAGTTTTGAAATACTCTATTTATCCATACGTTTCGGTCTTCATCGAGACCGTCATTCAGTGGAAAAAGAAATTAATTATACAAAAATACACTACACTATTACACTGTGATAAACCAGGCTATTAATAATTGGAACATTTAAACTAATTATTTTTTTTGACAATTTTTTGCTTACATTCTAGTGTGTACAATTTGAATAACGTCTAAAAACTGAAATATATATATATATATATATATATATATATATATATATTAGGGTGGTCCTTAAAAAGGTCATTTTCGAATTTCCTTGCTCCCAGGGGCTCAAATGGTTCCAAATAGATAAAAAACAATTCTCTGAAAGTTTTAGCTCTTAATATTAACGTTTAGATAGAGCGCAATTCAATCAAAGTTTGTATGGAAAGAGCATGGAAAAAATTTTGAAAATTAAAAAAAAATGTTTTAGGTATTACTTAGCGACAAATAAATAAGTTTTATTCATTTATTTGTACGCTAAATTACATTTAAAAAACATTTTTTAAATTTTTGAAAAATTTTCCATGCTATTTCCATACAAAACTTTGATTGAATTGCGCTCTATCTAAACGTTAATATTAAGAGCTAAAACTTTCAGAGAATTGTTTTTTATCTATTTGGAACCATTTGAGCCCCTGGGAGCAAGGAAATTCGAAAATGACCTTTTTAAGGACCACCCTAATATATATATATATATATATATATATATATATATATATATACTTAGTGCAATACCGGGCAATAGCTATGCAAACGTCTACGGGTAAAAAGGTCCACTATCGATATCTCAAAAACAAGTAAAGATAATAATTTATCAATCAATATATCAAACAATATATCAATAGAGGGAAAAATATATATAACCAACCATCACCTTGATTCTTACGACGTTAATGTTTGTATATAAACGGTAATGTTGAAAAATCCATAACAAAAGTATTTTCTTTCGTTGTTAGATTTTTTCGTTGTGAGCGCTGTTATATTTTTGTTTTATAAGGTGTATCGTAATTTAAGGTATTTTCAATAGATATTTTTATATAATCTTCATAAAATTTACATGTTGATGGTTTAAAAAGGACCAACTAAATTTTTGCAAATGTGTAAACAAGGAAAAATAGTGAATAGTGAAGTGAAATAGTGAAGGAAATAAGAGATAAATTAAATAAATAATTATTCCAACTCTGGCTGATAAATATTTCTGACAAAGATCATGATTATATACAGTGTTATCTCTGAAAAAATGTACCCATGTAATTTATATTTTGCATTGGTTGAATTATGTAGCGATTAATTCGTAAAATTCCGTTGAAGTTGAAAATAAGACACATGGCCTGTTTGTCCACTGGGTATCCCATTCTAGCGCCTATGTGCTAAAAACACATTTCTTCAATGATAGTGTTTTACTGAACATATTCAGATTGTTGTTTTTTAACTTCCCGTAGGACAAGTTATAGTAATCGCACAAAAATCGAAAATGAAAATTTTTATATATTTTTACGTTTCAAAGGAGTACTTTGGCATACCTTAAAAAAATAGATATATGTGTGTGTGTGTGTGTGCGCGGATACAAATTTTTGTCGACGATTTCGGGAACACCGATCAACCGATTTTCAGAAAACATTCGATTCATATTGATAAGAAAACGTGCTGATTAGTTTTTGACGAAGGCAGGTCTAGCCGTTCCGAAGGTACGGGGCACAAAGTGCCAAAAGTGGTAACTCAGTTTTTAAGAGAATGGAGCGACCGATTTCAATAATTCAACTAGTGGGGCGCATGGCATTGTGCCTTAAGGCAAATTGCTGAAACTTCCTGTACCGTAATTAAACATTCGAGAAATAAAAATAACTAGCTGTAAGTGGAATTCTGTCTTAAGGCAATTAAGGCATCGTGCCTTAAGGCAAATTGCTGGAACTTCCCTTACCAAAAATTATTATTTTTTTAAAAACGATTAACATTTTTGAAAAAAAATTACTTCGAAAAAATTAGATTTTTGAAAAACTATAAATTTGACAAAAAATTACTTTTTTTTGAAAAAAAAAATTTTATTTTGATAACAACATTTTTTTGAAAAGAAAAATGTTTTCTTCATTTTGACATATTTTGGAAATTCTGAACTTTTTTTCAAAGCAATCGTACTGCTTGAACTGCATAGAGACGAAATATCAAAGCGCGCAAGTGCCGCGCCGCCGTCTAACGCATAAGCATTGGTACGGAACCCATACAAATGTAAAAAAAATATACTTATTGTTGAAATCTCTATAAAATATCTGATAATTTGATGTGCATGTGTCTAATGATCATTTTTAACCGCCAAATGACATTTTTTTTTACTTTTTTCATTAGATCTTCGAAACCGCTAGATCTGCCTTCATGAAAATTTGATCAATTCTTCACCTTGTCCATACAAGTAAAATGTTTTTTAAATTATTCAAATCGAACGCTTCGTTCTCGCAAAAACTGAGTTATCGTTTTCGGCACTTTTTGCCCCGTATCTTCGGAACGGCTAGGCCTGCCTTGACCAAAAACTAATCAGCACGTTTCCGTATCAATGCGAATCAAATGTTTTTTGAATTATTCAAATTGGTTGAACCGTGTTCCCGAAATCGTCGACGAAAATTTGTATCCGCACATACATACACGCACATACATAAATACACACACACACACACACATACATCCATTTTTTCTAAGTTATTTTAAAATGTTCAGAAGGCTTTGAAACGTAAAGATATATAAAAATTTTCATTTTCGGTTTTTTTGCGATTACTATAACTTGTCCTACGGGAAGTTAATCAATAATTGTTTTGAAGATTTTCAATTAAAACAACTTATGTGTACGTTTACAAGAGTCCATTTTTTAAAATCTGATTTTTTTAAAAATTTAGACATTTTTTGATAATTTGAAATTCATTATTGACTTATTTTTCAAAAAAAATTTCAAAATTTTGAAATATCTTCAAAACGGCAAAATTGCCTTTTGCAAAAAAGCTTCGCGATCGAGTACGAACCGAATGAATTTTAAATCATGAAAATCGGTTATTCCACACTGTCAAATATCGAGGACCGATTTTAATGATTAAAAATCATTCGGTTTGTACTCGATCGCGAGGCGTTTTGGCAAAGTTTTGCCGTTTTGGAGGTATAGAGCGCAAAGGGTGTAAAAACGGTTAAGCAGGTTTCAAAAAACGGATTATCCGATTAGATTAATTTAAAAAACATTTTGCTTGAGTAGATGGTGTGCAAAAAATGCATTTACAGAAAATTTAGTAATTTTGAAAGTTTTCAAAAAAAAAAAATCAAAATTTTCAAGAAAGTTCAAAGCTTCAAAATTTTTTATCATGCTCCAAAAAAAACTAAATGTTGAAAAATTTAAAAAAAATTGATTTTTCACAAAAAAATGAGAATATTTCAAAAATTAAAAAAGACGAATATTTTCAAAAATTTCAAAATTCTCAAAATATTAAAAAAAAAACTTTTTTTGTTTAAATTCCAAAAAAAATCAAACTTTGAAAAATATTTCAAGATTTTGAAACAATATCAAAATTTAAAAAAGAAATCTAAATTATCAAAAAATTTCTCAATTATCAAAAAGATCAAATTCAAAAAAATGGACTCTTGTAAACGTACACATAAGTTGTTTATAAAATCCGCTTATCGCCGGTCTTATAAATTTACAGTATGTATTTACAATAAATAATCTATTTGAAAATCTTCAAAATAATTATTGATTATTTTCATTCCTCGAACCTGGACGCACGATCCCATGCATCCCACTAGTTTTGATATATGTTATTTGTTATGTGATATAATTGGTTTGGTTTTCACATTATAATTGCTCAAATTCAAATGTCACATTTGTGCCTCGCCCTAAATTATTTCTAAAATCATTTTTTTTTCAATGTTCAGTGTTTTATTAACTTCTCGTAGGATAAGTTATAGTAATCGCAAAAAAATCGAAAATGAAAATTTTCATATGTCTTTACGTTTCAGAGGTTTCTTAACATTTTGGCACACCTTAGAAAAAATGTATGTATGTGTGCGTACGTGTGTGTGCGGATACAAGTTTTCGTTGACGATTTCGGGAACACGGATCAATAGATTTGAATAATTTAAGGAACATTCGATTTGTATTAATAAGCAGACGTGCTGATTAGTTCTTGGCATAGGCAGGTTTAGCCGTTTCAAAGATACGGGTCAAAAAGAACTAAAATGGTAATTCAGTTTTTGAGATAACAAAACGTTCGATTTGAATAATTCAAAAATTATTTTACTTATATTCATAAACTAAAGTTATGAATTAGCAAACAATATTATAAAACTGTAGAAAGCCGATTGGCGTGTAAATAAATAAATAAATAAATAAATAAATAAATAAATAAATAAACGAAAAACTGTTCAAATTTTTGGAAAGGTAGGTTCAGCGGTTATGGACCATCGTGCCTCAAGGCAAATTGCTAGAACTTCCCATGCCGTAACGAAATGTTCTAGGAATATTAAATGTTTTCAAATAGATTATTTTATGTATATCAAAATGGAGCTCTCGATCAAATGATTCGGTAAAACTCGAAAACGGCTAAACCGATTTGGCCAGTTTTGGTCTTGAAAAATTCGTGCCAATTCGGAAAAGGTCGGAAAGGTAAGATAATATTTCAAAGCGTAGAAACTTTACATTTTTCATTTGAAAATTTTTGTAGAAGCGCAATTTAAATCAATCAATGGACGGTTTCTAATCCGTCAAATGTCAAACGTTTTTGACAGATGATGTTCAACTACGTTTAATAGAATGATTTACGTGAATATTATTTAATTATGAATAAATTGAAGTAAGTAGTTTTGTTCGTAGTTATATTTATACATAAAAACGTTATTAAACTGATCGCTAGTGTTACTAGAAAATCAAAATAACAACTTTTTTGAAATAAAAATGCACTTTTTGGCATATTTTTTCTCAAACACGATGCTCTGAAAGATCTCATTTGTATAAGTACTAATTTTTATTTTTTTATTTTTTTATTTTTTTTTATTTTTATATTTTTATTGGCCTCTGGTAAACATTTAGCCACATACATAATGTACAATATACAGGTAACATATATAGTATATTGGTCACTTACAACTTAATTTTACTATTATTAACAAACCTAATTATGTTAGGATAACAGTTCAGATTTTGCAATAATGATGTCAAATTAAAGGGTTTAATCAGTGTTTTTATAGAGTGTAGTTCCTCTAACAATTTAGCCCTGCTTGCCTCAAATATACTACATTCTAGTATGATGTGTTCAGATGTTCCGCTTGATGCTCCACAAGGACATGATTCTGACTCTATTATTCCCAGCCTCTTCAGGTGTGCAGGGAAGTTGCCATGATTAAGCCTTAGTCTTGTTATTGTTACGATGGTACCTCTGTTTTCATCTGCATATTTTCGGAACCACGGTTTCATTTTCAATTTGGGGTTGACTGCCTTGTAGTATCGTCCCTTTGTTTCCGACGATCTGTTCCATTGCTCTTGCCATTTGTCCAGTATTTTTTTTTTTGAATTATTTATATAGTCTTTCCTAGTGGCTAGGTTGATCATAGTTCCGTATTCTGTTGCCCATTTTGCTATTGAGTCCGCTTCATCGTTTCCACTAGAACCGGAGTGCGATCTAGTCCATAATAATTTGACTGTATACCCGTTCTCCAATAGCTGTATAAGTCTATTCCATACTTCATATACTAATGTCTCGCTTAGTCGATTAGTAAGGAATAGATTTTTCAGTTTATCTATGCAGCTTTTGCTATCGGTAACGATGACCACTTTAGTGATTTTGTGGCTTTCTATATATTCAATTGCTTTTTTTATAGCTATTAGCTCGGCTGACCAGATTGAAACGAAGTCTGGTAGTTTATATCCTATTTTGATATTATCGTTTTCATAAAATAAAGCGCAGCCAGTTTTGTTATTAATTTTTGACCCGTCTGTAAATATAACTTTATAATCCTCTATGTTGATTGTATTCGTATTGAATATTTTTTCTATCGTATAACTGTTGTCTAATGTGAAAAAGTTATAATACGGGTGTTTATTGTATTTATTTGTGTCTCCTCTTGTTTCAATTACTTTTATATAGCTATATACCAAGCTTGGTTTTGGACGATTTCTCCAACAGTCACTTGTTAATGTATCTATGGCTACATTCTTGATATTTTCGATTGTTCTATTATTTTGTACTTGGTATTTTTTAAGTACAAATTTATCACTTAAATATTGGAATCTTGAATGTAAAGGCATTTCCCCACATTCCACCAACAAGGCGTTTGTAGGTGTGGAGATCATTGCCCCTATGCACAGTCTCAAACATTTATATTGAATTTTTTCTAGCTTTCTGCAGTGAGAAGAGTTACTGAAAGCTAGACTTTCATACTCCCATGATGGTCTAATTATTGTTTTATACAAAATCAGGGCTGTGGTAGGGTGAGCTCCCCACCATGTCCTATTTACCATACGTAAAATGTTGATTTTTGGCTCAATTTTTGTGATTACTTGATTTATATGTGCTTTGAAAGATAGTTTTTTGTCGAATGTGACGTCCAAGAATTTATTATTTTCTTGTATTTTGATTGTATGGTATTTAGTCGTTAGTGCTGTTCTTTCTTCTAGCTTCCTGCGTCTTGTAAAGATTCCGATTGAGCTTTTTTCGTCCGACAATTCAAGTCCTTTCTTTGCGAGCCATTCGTGGAAGAGATCTATGTTACGGCTCATCACCTCATAGGCTTCCTGGAGGCTTGATTTTTCTATATATATCACGACGTCATCTGCAAATTGTAATATTTTGGTACCTGTTTCCCATATTTTTTCTATGTCTCTTACATAAATTGAGTATAAGATGGGGCTAAGAATTTCTCCCTGTGGTAGGCCTTTGTAGATTTTTCTCGGCCTTATCAGTTTCCCATTTATTCGGAAAAATATCTTTCTTTCTCGGATGTTGGTCGTAATTGAGTTTATGAATTTTCCTGGTAGTCCAGTGTTAGCCAGAGTATCTTCCAGCACCTCTGGTAGGACGTTATCGTACGCACCTTTAATATCGCTAAATAGAGCAACGACATAGTTGTTTTTTGCCATTGATAGATATAGATCTGATATAAAGATCGTTAGGTTGTCATATGTTCCCATGCCCTTTCTAAATCCGCATTGGGATTTGGGAAGTATGTCATACTTTTCTACCCACCATTCTAATCTTCTCTTGATCATTCTATCTTTGACTTTTGCAATGCAGGAAGCCAAAGATATGGGTCTATACGATGAAACTAAATTTGGGTGTTTATTCATTTTTCTGATAAGTATTATCACTTGTTGCCCCAAATCTTCTATTGCTTCTGGATTCAGCCACACTTTATTAATTATATCTACCAGTATACTTTAAGCTTGTAGTGTCAAATTTGCAATCATTGAATATGATATGCCGTCTTTTCCAGGAGCTGTGTTGTTGCTCCTCTTGATAGCTATTTCCAGTTCCCACAATGAGAATGGTTCCATCAGATTGTTTGTTTCTCTTTCCAGGACAGTTTTATTTCCATTGCCTAAGTCATTTTTGGCACCCAGTGGTGATAGATAGTCGATGATTTCCTCACTAATTTCTTCAGGGATATTACTATATGTGTTGGTCCCGTTCGTGTGTTTCTTGAGACGTCTAATCATTCCAAATACTTCTTTGACTGAAGTATTTGGATTCATTTTATTGACGTATTCCTTCCAACTGTCTTTTTTCTTCTTCCTGAAAATGTTTTTGATTTTCTTGTTTATATTCTCACACGTTAAATAGTTTTTATAGTTGGATTCCTGTCTATAAGCTTTTTCACCCTCTCTCCGTTCCTTTATTAGCTGATTGCATTCGTCATCCCACCACACTGGTTTAATGAACCTAGTATTTATCAATTTTTTCCTTTTTGGAATGCTTTTTTCTGCCGCTGAGTTAATTATCCGTATAAAATCTGTGTACGCTTTTACGGGGTCACTTACACAAAATCCATTTAGTTCATCTTCTAGATGTATTTGATACTTTTCCCAGTCTGCTTTATTGAGGTTCCATCCAAGATCGTTATTTTGGAGTTGTGGAACTTCTTTTTGTTTCAGAGTTAGAATTATGGGGTGATGATCTGAGCCCAGAGACTCATCGATTACACTCCAATCTATTTTGTGCGCTATGTCCTGAGAGCAAAATGATATATCAACTGCTGTAAAATTGTTTTTAGATCTCAAAGTTGGATTTCCATCATTGAGTATAAATAAGTCATTGGACTCTACGGATTCTAGTAAATTATTTCCATTCTGCTATTCCATTTACCTCCCCATGCATAATGGTGAGCGTTAAAATCACCGCACAAAATGAATGGGTTTTGGAACTGTGACAGTATATGATTCCATTGACTTACTGAGATATTGCTGTTTGGTGCGACATAAATGGATATAATGGTCAATTTGGTGTTACAGAACATAAGTGTTATTCTTTTGATTTGGCACTTGCTTACATCTATTGTGCCTATATTAATGTTCTCTGTATTGAGTACCGTGATATTATCCTTGACTATTATAGCCGTACCTCCATATCCATCATTTCTATCGTTGCGGAAGATCTTGTAACCTCTGAAAGTGCAGTTGTTACCACCTTTTAACCATGTTTCTGAGAAGGCCGCTATTTGAATCTTTCTCGTATAGAAAATGTTCAATGCAGCCTTTATTGGCAAACACTGATCTACAATTGTATTGCAATATTTTCAATTCCTGTGTCATTCTTGTCATTTCGGATTTGTTAGGTTTATCTGATCTCTTTCCATCCGATTAATTATGGCCATAAGCACTTGATTATTTTTTTGGTTGGTAGGGTTAAAAACATCCTTTAGTCTTTTGATTATGTGGTTCAGAGATATTTGCTCTGATGTGCTTGGATTTGGTTGTATTCCTCTTTTCTGTATATTTGTCGTTCTAACATCCTTCTCTTTCGTTTTATCTCTGTTGTCCTCTTTTGTCATTTTCGTATTTACGTTTTCATTTTTTTAAATGGTATTTTATTTATATTAGGTGACGCTTTTCGTGCATCGTTTTCTGTTTTATTGTTATTATTAGAGTTTTTAATGATGTTGTCTATGGCTGGTGTCTCAACGCTAGTATTGTGTAGTCTCCGTTTCTTGGGCTGATTCACTTCCGTATTTTCTGGTTCTTTATCTCTTGTGCGTTGTTGGTGATCTTGAATATCGGGAAAAACTTTTTTGTTTTGTAAGTCTAGTCTAGTCGTAATTATATTTGCGTAGGGGCGGTTCTCCAAAATCCTTTTTGCTTCATTATAACTTGCATTATTAAATTCCATTATTTCCTTTAATTTAATTTGTTTTTTGTAGACTTCGCAATTTTTGTTAATTGCCTGATGTCCATTGCCACATAATGAACATTTGGGCTCTTCCTCCCTGTTATCGCACTCCTTGTAGTTGTGGTTACCCGAACAATGTCCGCACCTGACACTACTTCGGCACTGTGTGGTCACGTGACCATAACGTAAACAGTTATAACATTGGATTATTTTGTTGTATTGACTCACCCGACACTTCACCGCATGTATTGTTACTTTCTCAGGTAACCTTTGGCCTCTGAAAGTTAGAACGCATACGGGCGTTTTTACATAATCGTTGTTTTGTTTTTTAAGAATTCGTTTGACTTCTAATATTTCCACTTCAGATTTTATATGTTTCAAAATATGTTCTTCTGATAGCTCGGTGTTTACGTCGTATATTACTCCCTTTTTTATTACAGTAGATAGTGGTATATATGCCCTTGCGCCGATCTCTGAGAATATATAGTCCGCTACCAACTTGTTTGTGAATTTGTAGTCATAACATTCAATTTTGATTTTGTTAATTCCGATAGCTTTAATTTCCTTTATATATTTGTCCATCTCTGGGTGCTTGTTAAATATCTTTCTACCTAATGCCATGTGGTGTAGTTTGCCTATGTTTTTGTTCATCGATTCTACATAAATTAAAAATGGTCCTATGTCTTTTTCTGTGTATGACACTGTTTTAAATACTTTAGTATTTCTCGATTGATTATTTTTTTCATATGTATTCTCATTAATCTTGTCGTTGGTTTTTAAATTTTCATTAATATTAATTACCTCATTATTATTAATAGTTTCTTGGGAAGGTTTGTCCCCTGTAAGATTTTCACTAGCACTGTTTTTCCCTCGAGTCGTTTCTAGATTTATTATTGTTTTCATTTCGTTGTTTGATACAACGTCACTTTCTTGCACTGAATTGATTGTTCCTTTAGGTGTAACATCACTATTTAATTTATTTAAATTAGCGTTTGATTCAGTTTCCATATCTTCTCCATAACATATACGCAATGCGTTTCCTATGCACGGACCTAATTGTATTTGTTCACGGTCATCGTCGGGACCCTCTCCGTAGGGTCCGCTATTCATGATGTCACTATTTCAACTATCTGCTGCGGATTACTCACTATTCAACACTGAGGTCTTTATCGTTCGAACGCTCGTTGCTGACTGTATAAGTACTAATTGGTATTTATAAAACATTTTATAGGTTATATTATTTTTAATATATGTTATTTAAATTCAGAACCTAAATTTGGTATCCATCAAAGCGACAATTTGTCGAATAACATTTTCCCAGTTATAATTTTCCAGAGTTTATCGAAAAAAAGTCAGTAATATATGAAGGTCCGGGGTTAAAAAGGTCCACCAGCGATGTGTCAAAAACCAGTAAACTGCAAGCATTGCTTGATGACGATGACAATCAAACTCAAAAACAACTTGCAGAACAATTAAATGTGACACAAGCATTGCTTAACAAGGAATTAAAAGTAGAGAGAAAAAGATGAATAACCAGCTATAACCTTAATTCTTATGACTTTGCTATATGGAGATAAACTCTACTCGTTGAAAATCCATAATAAAAGTATTTTCTTTCGTTGGTAGTTTTTTAGCATTAGTTAAAAGTGTAATTACCAGATGTATAAATTTTAAACCGCCCGCCATTTACTGATGGCCACATTAATTCATATATGGATGGCTGTAGTGGTCTGTTAGTTTTTTCTTATTGTTTTGACATCTGTTCATAATAAAAAATACCAACTGTTGCAATATTCGTACCAGAACGTAGCTTTCCATCATTTTGAAAATGTCGAATTCAGCGCCAAAAAATGTGGTTTTGCAGGGATCTTTAAGAACCTGCTTTCATTTTGTTGGTGGAAGCTTATGGTGACCATGCTCTGTCCGAAACACAGTGCAAGGAGTGGTTTCGACAATTCAGAAGTGGTAATTTTGATTTGAGAAACGAAGAACGTGGAAGACCACCACGTGTTTTTTCAACGTAAAAGAGGGCGATTTATACACCTGGTATTTTGTAAAATGCCTTTAAAATTAAAATAACACATTAAACCTGTTTGCCACCTGCCCGTTCTAAGTTACCCTGTCTATGAAGTAAAATGGTCTAGATAACAATATTTTGAAAGACAGCAAAAAAGCACATTTCTACAATGATGAAGTAGGTGGCAGTTTTACTGAACGTAGTCAAATAATTGTTGGTTTGAAATTTATTATTTGTTTGAGATATAATTGTTATGGTTTTTACAATATAGTTTATTTTTGCTCAAAGTCAAATTGGACCTTTGTGCCTCGCCCTGCTCTACATATATACTTTTTATTTAATTTACTTCAATTCATCGAATGTTACTAGAAACTTTTCTATCTCTCCTCGCAGAAATTTAAAAAAAATTTATAACCTCAGTAGTATTTACAGTATTTACAATTATACACAAAATCCATATACAAAAAGAATCTGAAAAACTAGAAACGTAATCAATAAGCCGAAAGACCAAAAAAGACTTGGATTGTATTATACAATGTTATCTATAGAAAGTGTATAAAACTTCCAGTTTGATTGTATTGACAAAATATAGACAAACTAATGGGGTTTATTGTTTTTATAATACATCATTGTATATAGTATTCAAACAACACATCCTTATATACTCCAAGTATTAATATTTTTGATTCTCTAGAAATTGTTTAGAATATATCTTACTTAGCAAAACAACGTTTGCCGGGTCAGCTAGTTATATATAAATACTTTAACATTATCTAATATTTATAAGAATTATATAAACTGAATTGCAAAATTGAAAATATTTGTCCAAAGTATATTAGAACTTAGTCAAAATTACAATTAAAAACTGAATTATTTTTGATATACAAAAAAAAATTTTTGGAAAAAAATTTGAAAAAAAAATTTAAACAAAAATTGTTTTCCTCCAAA